CTTCATACAAAAGCACAATCTCACAGGAAATACTATCCCAAGAAACTCATCTTGGAAGTAGCATTAAGTCTTTGGCTAAACACCAGCAAACAAATTACAATTCGGAGATTTCTTGCAACAACTCACAGATGTGAGAGCTATGGACATCCATCTTTCTTGCAACAACTCACAGATGTGAGAGCTGTGGACATCCATCTTTCTTGCAACAACTCACAGATATAAGAGCTGTGGACATCCATCTTTCTTGCAACAACTCACAGATGTGAGAGCTGTGGACATCCATCTTTCTTGCAACAACTCACAGATATGAGAGCTGTGGACATCCATCTTTCTTGCAACAACTCACAGGTATGAGAGCTGTGGACATCCATCTTTTTTGCAGCATTTTACAGATATGAGAGTTGTGGACTATCTCCAAATCATTACAGAAGAAAATAGGAGCTTTTGAGCTTGGGAAAAAAAGCTCTTTATAATACCATGGACCAGGAAGAGAAGAAATAATTTTGTTCCAAGAGACCCGAATATGAAGAAAAATTGGACTAAACACCAATTTGTCTTAAAAACTGAAAAACTCTGGCTTTATCAAACATCACGATGGATTGGAAAGAACAGCAACAGGGCATGTTGCCAGGTAATAGGCGCAGGCACCAACTAGCAAGGACATAATAAAAGGACATAAAAGACACCTTAGGCGGAAAAGTAGAAGTCAGGACTTGATCAGATATAACTGAGCTACTGTATAACAGTAGCCAGTACTACCTGTCTTTTGTTGAATGCTGGGTGGTGTATACCAAACCTGACATCACATATTGTGCCAACAGCTTCGGGCAGAGGAGTGCATTGGGAGGGATACTAGCCTTATCCTAGGAAGAGGAAATGCAACCTGAAAACTTTATGTTATGGCAGAGCAGACCAGACCCTTAGCCTTGGCTGGCAGCTGGTCTAGGAGGGAAGCTCCGACAGGCGTACAGACAGAGCACTGCTCTTCTGATCTGGTAACTTCTGCAGCCTGGTTTCTTCCAAAGGTATTGGTGTTACCTTTCCTTTGGAGTAAACAAGGCAGGTCGAGAGAGAGTGATCGGAGTGACTGCAATAACCAAGAAATCAACATCAGAATAAGAAAGACAGCCACAACATTGAGCAGATTAACAAAAAGAGTTTGGGAGAACAGAAAGTTCACAATTAAAACAAAAACTCTTGCCTACCAGGCTTGTGTACTCAGCACTTTGTTTAAAGACAGTGAAACTTGGTCAATTATTCACACCATGAGAAATGGCTAAATAGATTTCACATGCAATGCCTAAGAAGAACACTTGGCATTAAGTGGCAGGACAAGAAAGAGCAAGTATTACAACAGTTTTCTCAATTCTCAGTCTAAAAAAGCTCATGTGGCTTCACACCTGAAGAATGTCCCCTAAGGACATCCTCTAGGCTTCTATAGGAAGAAGATACTGAGGCCGACTTCTACTACAATATAAAGATGTGTGCAAATGGGACATGAATGATACAGGCATTGAAGTGGACTCATGGGAACAAAATGCCATGGACCGTATTATGTGGAGGGGACACATCGGGAAGATAATGAGAATGAAGACAGAAATGATTGCAGAAAGAATGAGAGCTGAGCGTTTAAGAAGAAACATACTAAATACAAATGTTGACAACAACAGAAGAGACATTCGGTAAAGGATGTGCTGCAGGATGATGCTGATGAAAATTAGTCCCCAACACAGCCTGTCATCAGAAGGTACACAGAACACACATCACATGTAAAAACTGCTGCACTTGAAATGTAGACACACACAAACACAAGCATTCATACAAATCACAACATGGGAAAGCAATGTAGTATGAGGAATATATCATATAAAATTGAAGCATAGGTCAGCTTTACAATTAAATAATGTTCTGGTGAAAAACCTTCATCAGTAAACAATAACAAAAAAGCTAATGATGCAGAAGTAACTATAAGTAATATATCCTTAATATCAGCAACAATTTCCACTTCACACACTTTCGCCTTCCTTCATATCCTGACCACCCAAACATTTGTGCATGCTCTACAACTATGGCCCTCGTAAATATGTCACTAGAAAAGTAGGAAAAGTGATATTTATGGGAAACTGGACACAACAAGAAGTGTAGGTTTAGCAGCTTTTCAGGCTGAGAGGGTACAAATTATACCCAAAAATCTGTGTCCTTTGTATATACAAGACCTTCCTTGACAGGCCAATGTGTAGAAATCAGACACTCTCACCTTAAAGACAGACAGTAGTCAGAGTCAAATATACCTGGTAAAACCAGAAGCATCAGATCACTGGTCCATCAATCACAATGTAACCTAATTCACATTATCATTTTAGGCTGACACTAAAATACAACACAGGTAATTTAATATCAAATGTCCACGCAGCATTCCTTACTTCATATTTAGGGCATGCATTTCACACATATTTGTGTTCAATAATCACAAAGAAACGTTACAAATACAGACAGAAATAAAACATGAAAATAAGAGCTTCGAGTTGAAAGAACCTGCAATCACTCTACAGATCTCTATATTGTGATGAGACAGGCTTGAGACAGAAAACTGTCAGCTTTATCAGTGTTAGGTGTGAGCATCTGAGGAAACTGTAGAGGACAGATCCAGGCATCAGCAAGAAATGCCTAAATAAGGCAAATGAAATGGCAGAATTTGGATCACAAAGCAGAAATGGGTACTTGAGAAAATATACTGTTTAAAAAAAAAGTAGTTATCCAATGGAGCTTTCCTGTTCAAACAAATAAATAAATGCAGTTATCTGATGCCACTTCCCTGTTTAAACCCCAAAAAATGCAGTTATTCGGCCTCACTTTTATTAGTTTGCGGAAAAGTCTGTATGCCTAAATGCTATTCATGACCCAGATGCAAAAAAAAAAAAAAAAAAAACTGTCAACTGATTGGCTAAACCCTAAGGTATTCTTGTGTGCAAGTTGAAATATTTCCCTCATTGAATTACAAAGATTTTGAATGTCAAAATTATGTTTCTTAATGCTATGCGGTTGTTTTTTTTAGCACCAGGCGATAACTGCATTTTTTTTTCTGAACAGTATAGCTAAAAATATATGTTAGCTTATTATGTGGATAGATGTGTGTGTCTGAGAAAGAAATGAAGATTATATTGATGACATTTGATGAAAATCTATAATAATAATAGTTATAATTCACACTAATTATGTGTACCAAACAATTATCGTTATATTAAAAATACATTTGTCAGAAGTCCTAATTTAAACAAAAAAATTGAAAATTATGCAACACATATAATGGCTGTCAATTATATTGCTACAGACAAATTCAATGTCATTTGTGGGATAAACAAAATTAACACTACATAACTCGAGAAATAAATATAATTATCTGTCCTTCCCCCATAGGCCTTCCCCCAACTCAGACAAGCTATATTATCCGCAGCTCACTTTATGTCCTCAGATTATTCACTGTCTCTTTAAATCTCTTCTCTGTGTGTGTTAATCCTCCTCTATGGGGCATATCTGCCCCCAGGAAAAAAATGGAGCTAGTTTCTAAAAAAAAAAAAAAAAAGTAATGATGATAGTATTCATCACAATAAATTTATTACAGTAGCCCTGGAGAAAAATGTTGCCAAAAAAATGTGCTAGTAGTGCATACTTTTGGGTACCAGCAGAACAAACATCCTGCTACTTTACCTCATTCGACTTTTGTGTTCCAGTATAAGAACGTACTAGTTACACCATGAGAAATGTTAACTGACAATCTATGTTGACACAAGGTAGGTTTTTACAAATATCTTATTGTCAACAGATTTTAACTTTTCATTAACCAGCGGACCACAGGCTTGTAAACAACCCATGTCGAGCCTGACGGAGATTAGTTCAGCTTGGTTGAATATTAAAGCTAAAGCCGTGATCTTCAACCTTTTTTCAGGTGGCCTGGGACAAGGAAAACAGTGAGTTGGCCGCGCAGACCGCTCAAGGTATCTCAGATGTGGTGCATTTCTATTGTTAAGAACAATTTATTTATACCCAGCTATTTTTCTTGTTTGAACTCTTATCTGGATAAGAAGAAATTTCTTATGAGAAGAACTATTTCCTTGGTCCCCAGTGAGTTCTCCTTATCAGGTTTGCTCTGTATTAGGTGGAAATAGAGGATTACAGCCAAAGATATTTTTTGTGACTACCCCTCAAAAACTCATATTTACCCTTTATATAAACATACCCTTGAGTTCTGAGAAAATACTGTCACTGACATGATGAAAAAAACAATGTAGGCAATGAAGATAAACCAACCTTCATGTCTTAAACATACCTTCTACACAAACACGATCAACTAACTCAATTTGTCATGCTATTTATCATTCCATTAACAATACATTACAGTAAGTATTCAAATGTTAAACAGGTGAGAACAAAAAAATACTTACAATTCTTTCCAGATTCTGTTTATAAGTGTAAGTAAACATTGCTGGCTAGCTAATACATTCTTAATGCTATATGTTTCAAACTATTCTGTATTCTAGTGTGAATCTAAAAATGTTTATAAGCAATAAAATATATTAGAAAAATATTTGTGTGAATTAAAGAAGGGATTGGATAGTATACAGCATATATCTGCTACATGAAGCACAAACAGAAAGTTTCAATTGGATCCAGATAAATTATCACTAGACCTGTCCTGTAATGGACTCTAATTTTTCTTCCTAAACTAAACTAAAACTTTACTGCAAAATATACAACGTATAAAATAAATATGGGGCAATAATAAAGTATGTTTGTCAGCTGAGTGAAACAGAGGGAGTGTGCTGCTGGCCTCCAAGAGTCTACAATGGTACTGACTACTAACAGAGATAAATGAACAAGAAACAGCCATATTCATGTTACTCAAAGCCTTATTAAACGTAGAAAATATATAACACTAATTTAATTAAAGATATGTTGGTGGTCTGTCAGACTGTCTACCTCCTATGATGTCTGCCTGAGTATTAAACTCCTCCACCACTGCGTTCAACGGTGATCTTTTTAGACTTCTCCTCATTGTCCTCTAGTGCCTTGGCAAAACGTGAATGTACAATCATTCCATGATCAATGGCACTCATCAACTGTGAACAGAAGTGAACTTCAAATAGCAAACACTGTATTCAGATAACAGACAAGATAAGAACAACAGCACACACACAAAAAATACAAAGTTAATTGTAACACTATAATGTACCTTTTTTGATCAGCATTCCAAGCCCTTGAGGTTCACTGCTGCAAATATTATCCACCTCCCTGTATTTCAGTGACTTCCGGTCAAAATGGACGTTAGGCAGCGGCACTGTTCGAAACAGAGGCAAATTGTTTGCTTCTGCCGGACGGTGGCCGATGCATTTTTGTTCCGTTTGTAGACTGGATATAGTTTCGTCGCCCAGCTTCTGAGTTGAATGCATGGCGTGACCCTGTGAGCTGCGGATTGCATTTGGAACGTTTTTTCGACTGTGACCAACGTGTTGGTGTGAACTGTAGATTCAGAAAATGGCGCGATGCCTGTCGTGCAGTGTTGTGGTGCCCGTATGTGATTAAAATGTATCGCGCGGGCAACAGCTGATCTGTTGGCGACTTCTGCTACCATCAATGATGAACTGCAATTCTAATACTGTGATAAACATTCTGTGTGTTTTTCATTGGCACAGGAGCGGAGCAAAGATGGGGTGACCCGTTTGCTATGAAGCTGAAACTAAGACTACCAGAATACCGTATCAGTGTTTGCTTTTTCCAGTTAATAACTTCAAGTGTTTGTGGACCTGGTAGAGTATTATTTCTCAATAGTCTTCTTGGTATGCCTCCTGGTCTATGGCCATCAACTCCATTCTCTAGTTTTTTCCCCTCACTGACATCTGCCATTTTCTCTAAATGCCCCAGCAATTTCAGTCTATTAGCCCTTATGACGTGAGGAATTAGCAGTAATTAACATACTACAGTACTGCCCTTACCTCTCCCAGTAAAGACTGTGGATCTGGCCCAAGAGAGCCACATTGAAAGAGAAGCTATGGGGGACTGGTGGCGACCTTAAACGCACAATCCTATTTGTGACCCAGACGGGACTCGATGTTTAGCATGACTGATGTCGAACGCAGAAGAAGAAGAAGCAGTGATTTAAACGAAATTCTGAATTTCATTACTGCTTCTCTTTCTCTATTCCTTGATAGGTCGAGTTGTAAGACTGTTTTTACAAAATTGCAATAACCCTTCATCTCTTTTAGTTGTAGTCTAGGATTCAAAGTCACATAGGACAAGTGGTCTTATTAGTAATTTATATACAACTTAGAATAATTTTAGTGTTACAAAACAGAGCATTACATTTCAGCAACAACATTACCTGTAGAAATTCCCCTATATCAACTTCAGCATTCCTGTTCAGATCAACTTCACTGAGAATCTCATGCAACTGGTCTTCTGATATTCGCTCTCCAATGTTCTGGTGGGGGAAAAATTAAGGTGCACATTTCATGTTTCAAATTATGTTAACTCATGTTTCAAATCAATGCGATTATAGGTTTCTAACTGCATGTTCATGCACTGCTTTATACATGTTCCTTAGTAGCATCAGGCATTCTGCGCCAGACCTATATTTTCACAGACTGACTGGCACTTGATGAGAGATGAGATCACCTAGATCTTTATTTCCCAGGACATTACCTGGCACCCATTTCAGACTGGACCAACCTGGTTAGAAGCCAATTAAAGAAAAAAAAAATAAACTTTGTGCAGATCTGAACTCAAAACTTTTGGGTATGATGCAAGTATTATCTGCTATGCTACAGTGAGTGCCTCCCATCTCTCACTGACTGGTCAACAATGTCATGTGTCCAGGAAAGTTTAACCTTTGGCACAAGAGGTCAAGCCTAAAATTTAAGACAAAGCAAACAGGAAAACAGCACTGCCCTAGGCTCACAGTCTTCCAGGGACTGGCCTGACTTTCTGCAGATGATAAGCGGAACAGGCTAAAATGTAACTTACTTTTACAATCAAATACTTTTTTTTGTTGTTGTTGTAATAAATGGTCTTCTTCTTCTTTGTCAGCAAACAGTTCTAGCTGTTCTTCCCCTTTTATCCTCTGGTTTTGTTCCAAAATGCAAGCTTTTCTTGAATGTCCATTTGTACAGATCTGGCTTATTTGCATGCAGACTGTCGAGTTTCTCGCCTGTCAGGCAAATGCACTTTGGTTTTAAAGACAACATCCCAAATTAGTAGATTTTTACAATATGGTTGTATGGGGAAGTTGGTTCATCCCCCCCCCCCCCCCCCGCCCCCCTCCCAACCGCAATACAGGATCCCAGAACACAGACTGGGATGATAAATTGTAATCAGAAACTTTAAAATCATAAAGATAATATCAACTTTCTCTTGTAATGCCTAAAAGGATGTAAAACAAAGGACCCTTTTCCACGCCTTAAAGGTGTAATCGGCATAAAGGGCTAGAACAAATTTTTTTAGACCAGTCAGTGGTTTATGTGGTCAACATCACGCCGACCATCTTTACTTCCCAGAAACTTTACCTGGTACCCATTTATAGCTGGGATTACCTGGCAGGCGAGGTCATTTTTGAAAGAAAAAAAAATCTGGCTCTGTCAGGAGATGAACCCACAACCTCTGGATACGTAGGTGAGCATCTAGCTGCTGCACCAGGGCAGCTCCTCAAAAAAGAATGAATAATATTTTTTATGGTTCATGTCACAGGGCAATGGTCATCACATCTGTGCAGTCTCCAGTCAAATAATAGATGGAATACAGCTCCACAATAAGTGTTAAATTAATATGTCAAAAAAAACAAGGCTCAGATTACCTTAAAATACCTCCTAAGGTCATTTATGGAAATGTAACCTTTGTTCTCAACATCCAAGGATTTGAACCTTCGCACGTGGTGGTTCAGCTCATCTTTGGTGAAGTTCAGGGGAACATCTTTTGCTGTAAGACGCTTAATATCCAAGCCCATCTCAGTTCTGAGATAGCGTTCAGCATGGGCCAGTTCAGCCTAAGGAAAGCAGTCATAAAAAGATATAAAACCAAATGAAAAGTAAAACCATCCAGCTTCACATTATCACAAACAACATGTGGATGTTATGGATAGAAAGTTGCCAATGTGCCATTAAATACCTTTTAAATTTGTCTATCAATTTCAACTAAATGAATAGGTCACTATGATTTCTCTATTTTAGGGTTTACATTTAAAAAAATAAAAACTAACCCGACTGCTCGTCAAAATGCAACTAATTAAGTGTTAAATGAAATTAGATGTTTTAGGCTGAAAGATGCAGAAAATGCAGCCTAGCTGTAAACTACAATATATGTGCCAGTTGTCCTGTACTGAAGATGAAATGCAAGACTAGTGCAGATACTGACATTATTGATGATGAAGATAAGAGCAGGGATAGGGGGAAAAGGGGGGGAGGGGGGCTGATTTTTAAACCGTACGTACACTGTTAGTTCCTTGCCTCTCAAGCTGATGCATTCTGACTGAAGGAAACACAAACTAATCAGTCACCTTCTACAATACGCTTTCTGGAGGGCAGTGAGTCTTTTCTCTGTTTCCAAAATGGACCCTGGAACCCACCTAGTAGATGATGATGATGATCGTCACCCACCTTCCTGGTCTCCTCATTCCAGCCAAGTTCCTTGCCCATTATTTCAACAACCCTGGGAAGAGCTTCTTGAGCCGCATGAACGTTAACAAAAGACAGGCGTGTCCGGCGTGCAATCACATCTATGGCTCGACAGGCATACTCACGCATAGCATATTTCACCTGGTGACAGATTTTGGAATGCAAGAATTATTGCCAAGATGATACAACATAAAGTAAGCAAGACTATAACTTCTGAATCAATGAATAAACAAATCCACAACTGACATCACTGCGCTCGGGACATTCCCACATGTGCTGTGTCCCCTTCTGCAGTAACCAACGAAAAGTCAAACATGATAATAGTGCTAGTGCCAGCTGCAACCTGATGAAAAGTCTGCCTATGTTTCCCCTTCATCTTCCTGAACCTCTTCTCACCCCGTGCTGAATTAGTCTTTCAATGTATGCATTCAGTATCAGTTCTTTTGCACTGTCCATCTGATCCCAGACAGCCTTAACAATGACCGTTTTATCATAAAGTAACTCAGTGTAGCTTACCGCCCAGAGGCAGCAGCTAATCTATCAGTCTGCTAATTTCCTCAGACACCTGAATATCCTGGATAGGAAATCCATGATATGCTCCAGACCTGAGTCTTATCAAGTGGTGATAAAAGCGACATAACTGTAACCGTTACTTTGAGAATACTGTCACTTGACTGTTGAAAGAAAAAATATTCTATTTTGTCATTTATTTACATAAGTGTGAAATTACTTCTAGGGTTCACGAAGCATACATCTATGTAGCATATTTTATCTGTACATAGGAAGCAATTACAGATGGCTAAAAGATACTGAGTTTGGCGTCTACTGTGGTATAACGATGTGGGCAAGCAGGACGTACATTTATTTCCTACATTTTAATCTATTGTTACTGTAGTACCCACTTGCCGAGGAACAACATATGGCAAGGCAATAAATTGTGCAATCTATTGTTACTGTAGTACCCACTTGACGAGGAACAACATATGGCAAGGCAATAAATTGTGCAATCTATTGTTACTGTAGTACCTACTTGATGAGCAACAACATATGGCAAGGCAATCAATTGTTACTGCAGTACCTACTTGATGAGCAACAACATATGGCAAGGCAATAAATTGTGCAATCTATTGTTACTGTAGTATGTAGTACCTACTTGACGAGGAACAACATATGGCAAGGCAATCAATTGTTACTGTAGTACCTACTTGATGAGCAACAACATATGGCAAGGCAATAAATTGTGCAATCTATTGTTACTGTAGTACCTACTTGACGAGGAACAACATATGGCAAGGCAATAAATTGTGCAATCTATTGTTACTGTAGTACCCACTTGATGAGGAACAACATATGGCAAGGCAATAAATTGTGCAATCTATTGTTACTGTAGTACCCACTTGACGAGGAACAACATATGGCAAGGCAATAAATTGTGCAATCTATTGTTACTGTAGTACCTACTTGACGAGGAACAACATATGGCAAGGCAATCAATTGTGCAATCTATTGTTACTGTAGTACCTACTTGATGAGCAACAACATATGGCAAGGCAATAAATTGTGCAATCTATTGTTACTGTAGTACCCACTTGACGAGGAACAACATATGGCAAGGCAATAAATTGTGCAATCTATTGTTACTGTAGTACCTACTTGACGAGGAACAACATATGGCAAGGCAATAAATTGTGCAATCTATTGTTACTGTAGTACCTACTTGACGAGGAACAACATATGGCAAGGCAATAAATTGTGCAATGTATTGTTACTGTAGTACCTACTTGACGAGGAACAACATATGGCAAGGCAATAAATTGTGCAATCTATTGTCTGTGACTTCTTTGCTCAAATTCACAATTTTCGAACAATGTTATGATTTAATATTAAATATCCTTAAGTGCCTCATTTCACACACTGCTATCTTTCATTCCTGATGTTTGAAAGTAAGATGTTTTCAAGAACCAGTGACCGTGAATTTGCCACCATGACCAGACTGCAAGAAAGAAAATCAAGAGGGGTGTGGCCAGATGTTATGCAGGAGGCCAATGATGGATGAGAGACCTACACAAAACTGGTGTCATCAGCCACTGAATGCTGCAGGATTTTCTGGAGAGGGGATCCGGGCACCTGTGGACTGACTGGTTTGATGTGAAATAAGGATTTGTTAACGTAACTAACTAATCACTCCCAATTGATAAGAGACTATGCTTGACATAGTTCACAGTGCAGTGGAGGCAGCAGCCAGAAAGACCACACGGTTTTAGCAACACTAACCTCAGCTTCCACATAAGGGTACTCCTCATGCAGTCTCTTGCCTACAACAGGCCAGCGCTTGCCAGTTATACTGCACAACTTGGCCACTTTGAAAGCTTTGTCTCCATAAGTGCCAGCCAAGTGTTGGGCAACCTAGTCAGGAAACAAGGGCAATGTAAAGCAAATTATATGACATACTAAACATTGCAAGAAGCAAGAGAAATGTAAAGTAAGCTGATATGACATATCAAAAGTGACGAAAACAGGGGTAACTGCAGTCATGCTAATATCAAGAAATTAGTCCACTGAACTTGACTACGAAGCTTAACAAAAAGGGAAGGGAAACAACATGCATATAAAAAACAAAAAATATTTCGGCCAGAGCCTTTCTTGAGATAAATTACAGCAACAACAAAGGGCAAAATACTCTGGTAACCAATCCCCAAAAAGGGAAGTTACGTAAAGGATAATATGACTTCCATGAAACTCGACTTAGATAAACATGTAGCAGAAGATTGATGAAGTCTTCATAATTACATTGTACAGTGGTAGACAAAAGTGTAAGACTGTCAAGTAAATAAATTACATTTCTAGAATCTTATGGAGCACTGCATCAAATGTTTATTTAAAGCTAAATAATGACTGCATAATGTGTATGCTAAGATAGAAGTAGATGAAATGATGTATAACAGTATGAACAAGACAATAATTTACATGGTTGTATAAAACTTTGGGCCACCACTGTACATCTGCACCCTTCAGACATTTTTTAAAATTATTTGAATAGCTATGATAGAATGTTTATAGCTGTTATTCTAATTTTCTTCGTCTTCTGCATTCACCCAAAGATGTAATTGCGTTGTGTCTGTTTACAGCATGGCTGTGATATTTGCATCTTTCGGCCAACACATCCGACTTCTGCGGGCATTTGTTGACCAGGTTAGCCTTCCTGGTTTATTCTAATCTAATGACCAATATGAAATCACACAGCAACGATTCTCAACTTACAGCATTCTCCAAGCCAAAATCCTGCACCAGTCGAATAAACAAGGTGGGAGACCATCCATGAGCACCGTCTAACAACAGGCCTTTGGTCCTGCATGGTCCAGATGGCTTTAACTTACACACTTCTACTGCCTTATCCATTGTTTCCTCTGCCATAGAACGATAAGTGGTCCATTTGCCTCCTAATAAACATACACAAAAGGCAGATAACACCTGAATATGGGGAAGTACCTTTACAGATACTAATTAGCACTTACAGAAAACAAAATATATGATGAGAACATGACAATGATAATGTAGGTGTGAACATAACACTCTTGATAACTGTGCAATGTTTCACATGAGCTTATATGTAATCCTGATTGTAACAAATTTTAATCATCATCACGCAGCAGGTCCTTTGCAGAACGTCGCTCTCATCATGGTCTGCCTGAAATAAACTCTGTCTCTCGCCAGCTCTTCTGCCTCATGAACTTTCATAGCCAAGGAGTCACTTATAACCTGTGCTTATCTTCATGTTGGTCGGCCCCTGCCCCTCCTTCCTAGTACCATGCATTCTGCTGTTGTGTGTTCCAATCTGCCATGGCTCTTGATATGGCCAAAATATTTCAGCTTCCAAGACAAGATGCTGTTTATAAGCCAATCTTATTTGATGTTCAGATCTTTTAGAATGTTGGTATTTCTTCTCTTCTTTGCCCATGGAAGTCTGATAATCCTTCTATAACATTTCAGCTCAAAACCCCTATTTTCTTCCTTAAAGACTGGGAGATAGTCCACGACTCAAATCCGTATGTTGCCACAGGTGAGATGCATGCTTCTCTAAATCTTAACTTTGATTTCCTTACTGGTTCTTAACCACAGAATTGTAATGCTGTTTAATTTTGACACAGTCTCCGTTGCTATTTATTATGGAGCTTAGATATTCAAAGTTTGTGTCATTTTCAATATCCATCATTTATTGTTATTTCTGGGTGACAGCTAGTTTTGTTTGTGCACATTGTTTATATTTTCTTCAAACTCAAGAACTGTCATTTTTAAGTTGAAAAGATTTATTATGTTTTTAACCTTTTTTTTTTTTTTAAAACTGTGGCATGCATCGAACAAGATATACAGTGAAATATGCCTGGCAATTCTTCTGCATTCCCCTTTATAGGGAGCAGTTAGCATGCTGTGTTGCGCTTTACAGCTAGGTGGTGATATCAGTGCCTTTCAGTCCAATGCATCCAATTATAGTGAATGCTTAATTAATTGTCTTTTACAACATGCCAGTTAAGGAGTGGTGGGTTTACTTTGTTTTGAAGAATGAAGCCTGGAGCCCACCCAAGATTCCTTGCAATAAACCGTTCAATTTGTTCTTTGTGTCTTCGCTGTTTTAAGTTCAAAGTGGTAAACACTGCACTGAAATATTTTTTCTTAGGCGATCATCTACTTCTCAATCATCAGGGTCTTTGCAGAGAAACTGGTCTCATCACGGCCCGTTTATAAATCTCGCTTTCTCTAGCCAGTTCTTCAGCCCTATGTGCTTTTATAACCAATGCAGCTTCACTGTCTCAAAGTCAACTTTGCGGAGGTTGGCCTCTGCCTTGTTTTATTCGGAAACTGTTGCCTCTGTCACCATCCTCTCCAGGCCACCATATTGTTTAATTAACATGGCCAAATTTATCACAACTTTCAGGACAGGGTGCTGTTTATGAGCCAATTCTCCTCGATGCTCAGACGACATCGGATGTCCGTGTTTTTCTTCCTCTTGTTCCACAGTATTCTAAAAATTATTCAGTAGCACAGGATTCTCCACAACCTGCAATTTTCACTAGCATGCATCAGTGCGTGTGTTGACATCCTTCGATGCCAAGACAAAAGGTTGTCAGTAATCTTCTAGCACAGTCTACCTCTATCTCTCTTTCTGCAAATCTTTCCAACCATCAGAACATGTTTCAGTTTATTTCTTGTCATAATTCTTTCTTACAGTTGTATGTAATGTTCTGTTATCAACATTATTTTATTCAAATGGCTGACAAGGTAACTCACATTTTTTTTTTTTTTAATTCTGCTTTTACAGGAAACTGAACAAATGACAGTAGTAATTGACAAAAACATATCCAAGGTCAAAAAAAGAAAAAACAAAACATAACAAAGCCCAACTAGGGTTCATCAGTTCTAGTTATGCCTAGTGGCACATGAGGCTTGAGAGAGGACTTTCCATGCTTTCCTGTCCTGTGCAATCTTCAATGCAGTTTTCCATGTCAAAGATGCTGCACTCAGGTCACTTTCCATCGTTCGTCTCCATGTTGTTTTTTGGGCAACTAGGGTTGACAGTGATTTCATAGGAGGGTTGTACAGGACATTGAGTAAATTACTACTATTAAATGACCACAATATCTGCACACAGCTGTGTTCACAGTTATTAATCTGATCATATCTCATGATTTCTAATACAATGTATTTTTTATATGAGACTTACCAGCTATGGTTATCAAATTGTTCTTGGCCACCTCAATGACATGATTCCTGGCTATAGACTGTGTATCAGATTTGTTCGGATCGGAGACAAGCGGACGAATTCCTGACCAGGCTGAGAGAACATCACCACGACGAACTGCATGAAAAAGTTATAAAATCAGGAATGAGACTATCTTTTAAAAGACAAACTATAGTATGGATTTATCAGGCAAGAATGGATTGCAACACTAAGCACTTCCAGAATATCTGCCCTAACCTTCATCTTTGTGCCAGGTCATTCGGGGTTTTCAAGGAAACAAGCGTGCAGACTATTTTGCTGACACAGCGGTTGCTATGGCTGGCCCAGTACTGGACAGAAGTGATGTTATCAATGCCATGTGCTGCACTTACCGTACCGAGCAGCATGCCAAAGGACATGACTTCATATCACTGTCTAGACTTATGGACACTGGGGTGCAGCCTGGAGCTGCAAGAGATGAACATTTTACTAAGAGGACAAGATGTTTCATCAACCAACACAGAACAGGTATCATCAGTCGTTTTACACTTGTGAAGCTTTTGAAAAGATCGGAGCAACTATGGATCTGTCCGGAGTGCTGTGATGATAATCCTTTCTAATCACTGCTTTAGAGGTCCCCAATAGTTAGTGTCCTTTGAATATTTCCCCTGGGAATGCAAGTATATTAAACGATGAACAGACTGGCTGGCACTGCACCAGTGGGTGGTGAACTGATGCATGACAACCTAGACAAGGCCCTTTGGGAGCAACCAAAAGATGTGAAGGGCAACAAGATTAGGCTCTCCTTTCAACTACGGCCGGTAGACAACAGTAGACGGCCGGTTAGTCAGAGTTCTGTCCCCTGGCTGCAGTGCTATTACGGATTGGACAGGAGGAAATGAAACAAATGACATAATTACTGTGTGTTGGCGATAGACAGAGTGCACTGCCCTGCTCTAATCATACGGTTAGGGTTAGGGGTAGGGTTTGGATTAGGTTTAGGGTTACGGCACAAACTCAAAGTAGCAACACAAATCCTAATCCTAAACCTAACCCAAACCCTACCCCTAACCCACGCAAGAAGCGGTAATTGAATGAGGTCGCTAATTTGAGTCGCAGCGCTGGGTCTGCCAGGCATGTCGACCTCACTTTGTTTTCTGATTCGTGCCTTCTCCAGTCCGTAATTGCACTGCAGCCAGGGGACAGAACTCCGACTAACCGGCCGTCTACTGTTGTCTACTGGCCGTAGTTGAAAGGAGAGCCCAAGATTATTATGGTCTAGAGAGAATGGTGCAACTGGGGAGTGAACAGAGGATCAGGCTGACATTTTACACAGAAGAAAGGCAATACGGACATATAATCATTACACAGAAGAAAGGCAATACGGACATATAATCATTACACAGAAGAAAGGCAATACGGACATATAATCATTACACAGAAGAAAGGCAATACGGACAGATAATCATTACACAGAAGAAAGGCAATACGGACAGATAATCATTACACAGAAGAAAGGCAATACAGACATATAATCATTACACAGAAGAAAGGCAATACGGACATATAATCATTACACAGAAGAAAGGTAATACAGACATATAATCATTACACAGAAGAAAAGCAATACAGACATATAATCATTACACAGAAGAAAGGCAATACGGACATATAATCATTACACAGAAGAAAGGCAATACAGACATATAATCATTACACAGAAGAAAGGCAATACGGACATATAATCATTACACAGAAGAAAGGCAATACGGACAGATAATCAAACTGCCATTGGTAATATTGGCATTGCAACTCTTTGCTGGCTGCTGAAGATAGGGGCTGACTACTTATGGGAATGTCCTAATGGCTTGGTTATATAGGCAATATTTACTCTTATAACAGCAACTTTCACAGTTACCTACCTTCAACATCAGAGTTGAGATAGTTTCTGATCTCATTCAAAATAAACTGAATATCCTTCTCTGTTGGCTGGGGGTTGTCCATCACTTCACAAGGTGTGTCTGTTGTACCTGTTGTAATACCAGAAGTTAACCAATCCAGAAATCAGATACATATTTTTATCAATTCAACAATATTTTGTCAAGGGCCCAGAGGTTTGTTAGGAAATGTAACAGGTAGACTGGCTGGCTGGTTCAGCATAATTTAGTGATAATTTAATGCCTGACTAACTAGATGTTGGCAAGGCTCTTTGGACTGTAAGAGAACGGTGAGGAGACACAAACAGATCACCATGATCTGAAGAGAATGATACAGCAGAGTGCCAGGGAATCTGGTCGACACTCAACATTTAACGAACAGGCAAGATGGTGATACAATTAGATTGCTACTGGCACAATCAAAACTGAACCCTGCACTAGCTGCTGAAGATGGTGATGCAGTGCTTATGGTAATGTCCCAAGTGCTATAAAGATGGCTTTTAACTCAATTCAGCATCGACTAGCTCTCACAGCTGGTTTTCTTCTCATACTTTCAACTGTATCCTATACTACTGATTAAAGCACAGCCCAGACAGTGACAGATAATAGACATTTTTGGGACCAATTCTCTAAAACTTTTTTAATTGTACAGGAAAATAATTACATATGCAGTCAAAAACAATTCAACAAGCTCACTTCTCTGTTCACTTTCTTTTAGGTCCATATGGGTTTACCATATATTTACCTTTCACCTCGCTAACCTAATTATGTCATTTACTGTCAACTATCATGTGGCTCATTTTGTTTCAGCTGTATTCCTGTACAACTGGATATTTCGACGACTTCTGAATTTCAGCCTTGAAAGGGTGAAATGATTTTTCTATAATTATTCATAATCTAGCCGTATAAGTCCCTTGTTGCGTATTTAAGCTGATGAAAGTTTTCTAACCAGAACATTTATTCTGGCACATACATGTTTGTGTGTGCAAAGGTAACCAGATCTACATTCTCTATGTTTATTACACTGGACGTATTCATCCAATACACACATATCACTTCCAAAACTTACCTGCAAGGGTCACATTCTGCCAGGGGAGGAAGAAGATCACTCTCCCATCTGACGTGGAAGGATCTAGGAGACCCATGCTCTCAGGACTGTAGTAGTCAGGTAGGACTATATGCACACCTGAGCTCGGCTGACAAATCTTCCTGATTTCACTATCTCCCATGGAACGTATAGAATCAGTGTATGGTCCTGTTGCATTTATGACACACTTGGCTCTTATGTTGTACTCTTCTCCTAAAACATTTACAATATAAAATATATAAAGGAATTTGTTTCCATGAACATCATCATAATCATGTAGCAGGTTCTTTGCAGAATGCGCTCTCATCACAGTATACCTGAAAGTAACTCAGTCTCTCGCCAGCTCTCCTGCCTCGTGTACTTTCATATTCAAGAGTGACTTATATCCTGTGCCCATCTTTGTGTTAGTTGGCCCCTGCCCCTCCTTCCTGGTACTATGCCTTTCTGCTATTTATTTTTCGATTCTGTCGTGGTGCTTAATAGTACCAAAATATTTCAGCCTCTGAGACAAAACTCTGTTTATTAGCCAATCTTCCTTGATGTTCAGATCTTTCAAAATGCCAGTATTTCTTCTCTTCTTTATCCATGATATTCTGAGAAAACTTCTATAGCATTTCCCCTCAAACGCCTAAATGGTTTTTTCTTAAGGAGTGGGAGATAGCTCATGACTCACAACTGTGTGTGAGAAGCTCCCAGACGATCTGACCAACGCTGAACACTTGAGGATGGGGCAAGACAGATATACAGTCAGACAGTTACTCATGCCATCAGAACTGGAACTCTTTGCTTGCAGCTGAAGATGGGGATGAAGCACTAACAGGAGTGTCCCGAGTGCCTTGATGTCCATTCTTAATTCAACATTTAACTAAATTTATTCAGGGGCCACAATTTTTAAAAGAGGGATCATCACGAGCCAGACAGCCGAGCCCCGGCACAGTAAAATCATTAATACAATACAACTAGCAATGATCCACAGGCCACTGGTAGGCCTCCGCTGGAAAACAATGACCCGCTGTGGAATAGTCCTGATATAAAATGCAACCAATGAATGCATGGCAAGTTTCTTGATACTTAAATATGCTGTTAACAAAAAAAAAATAATAAAAGAGATAGAAACGAATAGCTATCTGATAGCACATTTTTTATAAGTTTGTAAATAAAACATTGTATTCGGATATGTGAGAAGCACTCAAATGTTATTTACTGTGTCCAGTGGACATGTGGGTGTGAATTGTGTGGGTTTTTGTAGTGGTTACAACGCAGTGGTCAACAGTGTTTAGGACATATTTGTCAGCACATCTCATGATGTGCGCACGAGAAAGCAACAAATTTTAGGGTGAGAACTATTCACTGCGTTTGCAATTGAAACCCTATAAAAGGATAAGACTACACCAAAGCATTCAGTTCATTTTCAAGCAGTCAGAAATGGCACCTCTATCGATAAATATAAGGAATAATGCTAAGGTATTCTTGTGTGAAATTTCAGTAATTTCACTTATTGCATTAAAAAAATGAAAAATGGCAAAATTGTGAGTATGTATGTTCCTTTCCATAGCTACGCGTTTTGTGTGTGTGTGTGTGTGTGTGTGTGTAGACATTATAGTTAAGGTTTATACACCTCTGCAAACTAGGTCAATCTCTACAAACAATGTCAATCTCTACAAACAATGTCAACCTCTACAAACAATGTCAACCCCTACAAACTATGTCAACTTCTACAAACTATGGCAACTATCTTGATTCCAGACAGTCATTACTTCAAATTGCATAGTTTGCGTACTTCAGAGTAACAATTATCCTGCAGTGCCTGCTGAAGATAAGGACAAAGGGGTTCTGGAAATGCCCTGAGTGCTGTCACATAAGTTCTAACTTACTCAAGTAACAATCTTTGAGTTTTGTTACTTTAAACTAATACAATTATAGGACATATGGAAGTAATGTAGCGACGGGGATAGAGTGGATTAATGTAGTAGATGGTTATAACAGAAGATGTTAAGTAATGAAAATGCAACGAAACAGGTTAAAATATGGTTAGCTGTTTCGAAATGAAAGAGTTAATTACCTCATACATATAAAATATGTTTATTCTTCCTGTGTGTATATATATATTTTTACATTAATACAATACAACTTGGAACTACATGATAAGTTCCCACCAACACTTGGAGGGTACAGGTTAAATAAAGAGACATGGTTCAATGCTGCAGTTTTCGCCTACGATGTGTACGAGGGATTTCAGATTAAAGAAGAGACATGTGCGGCAGTGTTGAACTTAGAAGATGCCTACAATAAAGTACCATACGATTATTTAATGCAATTACTGCTTAAACTAGAAGTTAATCCTATTCTGATCCGCTGGATTGCTGCGGTCTTGTTCCAGAGAAAGATTGTACTAAGATGTGGTAGCTGGTCCTCAGAACCGCAAACGATATGTCCAGGCTTGCCACAGGGATCACCGCTATCACCAGTCTTATTCAACGTTTACACGGTGATGATCACTGAGCAGCAGTTGAATGGAAAGGGAAGGACTTTGTCATTTGCTGATGACATTTTGATTTATCGACGAGGGCGTGATAGACAGGAGATCGCCAGCACAATGCACAAAGAACTCGATCGAATTGCAGCCTGGTGTGATGGTTCCAATGCCTATGTCAATCCTTCGAAGGCATCAGTGTCATGGTTCTCTTTGAACAATCACATTGTCAAGTCGGACTTACCAGAAGTGAAAATGCGTGATAATGTATTGATCAGAACCAACGTTATGACGTTTCTCGGGGTGAGGTTGGATCGCAGCTTGTCATTCAGGGAACACGTTGACCATGTGATAACAAAAGCACGCAAAGGTCTATCTGCAATGAGGATTATGGCTGCTTCCAATATTGAGCAAAGACTACTAATACTTCTATTCTACGGTCTGGTCCTTTCCCCCATTGAATACGCTCTGGCCATCCTCACTGTCAGTGCTACCCAGATTGAATGACTCGAAAAGGTGCAAAATGAAGCCATGCGCATTATTTTGGGATGTACTAGAGACACATCCTGTGGAGCAATGAGGTATCTACTTGACTTTCCAACAATGAACCAAAGGATCAGGATGTGGAGGGCTCGGGCATATCTCAAAATATGCGCTGATAAGAAACACCCACTGCATCAAGCGCTTTTTAGTGAAAAGGGCGACAGACTGAAGAGGGGAAAATCGTGGCTAGGTCGGGCAGAAGATGTTATTAGGCAAATATGTAGCCTAACCGACATCATACCTGGTGCAGAATGGATACCTGTGCCTCAGGCGTTTATTTGTACATTTTCCTGTATTGTCACACTCAACAGGCGATGTAGAGAAGAGAATCCCGTTGCTGTTAATTCAGAGGTCAACGCTCTCATCGGTGAAAATTCAGACGAAGCAGATGCAATAATCTATACAGACGGATCCGTTATACGCCAAAGAAGAAGCGCATGGGCATTTACAGCACGCTCAGCGGGCAGAACAGTCAAAGAAGCCAACGGCGCCTTCTCCATGACAACCAGCAGCATGACGATGGAGGTGATGGCAGTGACACAAGCGCTTGCCTGGCTTGAAACACAAAAATACACCCGCGTGTGTATACTCAGTGATTCAATGAGTATGATCCAGAGGGTTCAGGCAGGTTCAGTGCGAAGACAATGGCTTGAATCATTACAGAAGTCCACTGTTCGTGGAGTCACCTTTATTTTTGTTCCGGGACACGCAGGCGTCGATGGAAATGAAAGAGCTGACAGGTTGGCTGGATCCGCTATAACTACCGACAGTCGTCAGCCTATGGATCATGCTGATATTATCAATGCCCTCAGAGAAATGGGAAGAATAGAGGACTTTGGTGGCAGTGAATCCACATCACTCGCCAGAATGGCAGACTTGGGAATTAAGATCGGCACAGCAAAAAACGAGACGCACACCAGCTACGCCAGAAGACTTGTTAATCAACATAGAACTGGTACTATTAGCCATCAGACGTTGGGGTTCATACTGAGGGGAGGATCTGAGCACCTATGGACATGTCCGGAGTGCAATGAGGATAACCCAACTAACTAACTAACTAACTAACTAAGTATATATATATTTATATATATATGTATAATTTATTTACTGGAAGGGCTAACCAGGGCACAAATGCCCGATGAGGTCAGAAGTTTCAGCTGTAAGGTGCAAATATTGTAGTCATGTTGTAAACAGGCATAAAGGAGTCACATACACAGATAAACGCAGAAGAAGAAATATTATTTCACGCATATAAAACTGGCTGTCATCCAAAACAAAAAAAAACAATAAATGATAAAGAAACTGAAAATGTCACAAAATCTGAATATCTAGGCTCTATAATAAATAGAACTGAAGACTTGTTTGACAGAAATCAAAAGGAGGATGGCCATAGCAATGCACAGATTAAACAGCATTATAAGTCTATGGTTGAGCACCAGCAAGGAAATCAAAATCACAATTTTGAGAACATGCATCTTCCCTGTAGCAATTATTGGATGTGAGTTGTAGACCATCTCCCAGTCCTTAAGAAAGAATATAGGGGTTTTTGAGCTAAAATGCTAAAGAAAGATTCTCAGAATACCATCGACAAAGAAGAGAAGAAATACTGACATTTTAAAAGATCTGAACATCAAGAAAGATTGGCTAATAAACAGCATCTTGTCTCGGAAGCTGAAATATTTTGGTCATATCAAGTGTCATGGTGGACTGGAAAAAATAACAGCACAAGGCTTGGTACCGGGAAGGAGGGGAAGGGGTCGACAACAAGAAGATGGGCACAGAATATATGTGACTCATTGAATATGAAAGAACACAAGGCATGAGAGCTGGCAAAAACCACAATGACAGCCTCATTATGCAAAAGACCTGCTACATGATGATGATCATATATCAACTCAATAATAAATAATATAAGTAGAGTTCATCAACTCACCAGTTAATGTATTCCTGACATGAGCACCACAAATCTGCTCCTTGCCATCCACCACAGTCTTGAGAAGACTCTCCACTCGGGTATAGTTGAGGCAGTATGCTCCATGCCGAACAGCAGTAATGGCCAATGACACAGCCATCCTAGCATCATCATGCTGACCTGCAGGTGCAAGAGTGGACCTATAGGTTGTTATCATGCTACACTAAACATGCAGATTATGAGGTACGAATGAATGTACAGACAATGATGCATGACTAAATATACAGGTTGTTGTGATGTATGACTGAACATACAGGTCATTACAATTTATGACTGAACATATGGCTTTCTCCTTGTGGGTTCCAGGGCCCCATTCTGGGGAAGGGAGAAGAATAAACCCACCACCTCACTAACTAGCACGCCATACAAGGCAACTGATTAGGGGAGTTTCCTTTAAAGTTGAAATGTATCTGCCTGAGAGGTAGGGAACTATTTAAAGAAGCCAGATCTGTAAAACAGATGTGCATGCAAAACTCAAGTTCTGGAACAAGACACAAATTGAGGAATGGACAAACAAAAATAACTTTCTGCGAGAGTTTGCAGCCAGTGAACGAACGATAAGAAGGAGAATAGGTTATAATGTATTTTACAGCCAGTGAATGATAAGAAGGAGAAGAATAGGTTCTAATGTATTTTACAGCCAGTGAATGATAAGAAGGAGAAGAATAGGTTATAATGTATTTTACAGCCAGTGAATGATAAGGAGGAGAAGAATAGGTTCTAATGTATTTTACAGCCAGTGAATGATAAGAAGGAGAAGAATAGGTTCTAATGTATTTTACAGCCAGTGAATGATAAGAAGAAGAAGAATAGGTTATATTGTATTTTACAGCCAGTGAATGATAAGAAGGAGAAGAATAGGTTATATTGTATTTTACAGCCAGTGAATGATAAGAAGGAGAAGAATAGGTTCTAATGTATTTTACAGCCAGTGAATGATAAGAAGGAGAAGAATAGATTATAATGTATTTTACAGCCAGTGAATGATAAGAAGAAGAAGAATAGGTTATATTGTATTTTACAGCCAGTGAAAGATAAGAAGGAGAAGAATAGGTTATATTGTATTTTACAGCCAGTGAATGATAAGAAGGAGAAGAATAGGTTCTAATGTATTTTACAGCCAGTGAATGATAAGAAGGAGAAGAATAGGTTCTAATGTATTTTACAGCCAGTGAATGATAAGAAGGAGAAGAATAGGTTCTAATGTATTTTACAGCCAGTGAATGATAAGAAGGAGAAGAATAGGTTCTAATGTATTTATGTGTTTTACAGCCAGTGAACGAACGATAAGAAGGAGAAGAATAGGTTCTAATGTATTTTACAGCCAGTGAACGAACGATAAGAAGGAGAAGAATAGGTTCTAATGTATTTTACAGCCAGTGAATGATAAGAAGGAGAAGAATAGGTTATATTGTATTTTACAGCCAGTGAATGATAAGAAGGAGAAGAATAGGTTCTTATGTATTTTACAGCCAGTGAATGATAAGAAGGAGAAGAATAGGTTCTAATGTATTTTACAGCCAGTGAATGATAAGAAGGAGAAGAATAGGTTATATTGTATTTTACAGCCAGTGAATGATAAGAAGGAGAAGAATAGGTTCTAATGTATTTTACAGCCAGTGAATGATAAGAAGAAGAAGAATAGGTTCTAATGTATTTTACAGCCAGTGAATGATAAGAAGGAGAAGAATAGGTTCTTATGTATTTTACAGCCAGTGAATGATAAGAAGGAGAAGAATAGGTTCTAATGTATTTTACAGCCAGTGAATGATAAGAAGGAGAAGAATAGGTTATATTGTATTTTACAGCCAGTGAATGATAAGAAGGAGAAGAATAGGTTCTAATGTATTTTACAGCCAGTGAATGATAAGAAGAAGAAGAATAGGTTCTAATTTATTTTACAGCCAGTGAATGATAAGAAGAAGAAGAATAGGTTCTAATGTATTTTACAGCCAGTGAATGATAAGAAGAAGAAGAATAGGTTCTAATGTATTTTACAGCCAGTGAATGATAAGAAGGAGAAGAATAGGTTCTAATGTATTTTACAGCCAGTGAATGATAAGAAGGAGAAGAATAGGTTATAATGTATTTTACAGCCAGTGAATGATAAGAAGGAGAAGAATAGGTTCTAATGTATTTTACAGCCAGTGAATGATAAGAAGGAGAAGAATAGGTTATATTGTATTTTACAGCCAGTGAATGATAAGAAGGAGAAGAATAGGTTCTAATGTATTTTACAGCCAGTGAATGATAAGAAGGAGAAGAATAGGTTATATTGTATTTTACAGCCAGTGAATGATAAGAAGGAGAAGAATAGGTTCTAATGTATTTTACAGCCAGTGAATGATAAGAAGGAGAAGAATAGGTTATATTGTATTTTACAGCCAGTGAATGATAAGAAGGAGAAGAATAGGTTCTTATGTATTTTACAGCCAGTGAATGATAAGAAGGAGAAGAATAGGTTCTTATGTATTTTACAGCCAGTGAATGATAAGAAGGAGAAGAATAGGTTCTATTGTATTTTACAGCCAGTGAATGATAAGGAGAAGAAGAATAGGTTCTAATGTATTTTACAGCCAGTGAATGATAAGAAGGAGAAGAATAGGTTCTAATGTATTTTACAGCCAGTGAATGATAAGAAGGAGAAGAATAGGTTCTATTGTATTTTACAGCCAGTGAATGATAAGGAGAAGAAGAATAGGTTCTAATGTATTTTACAGCCAGTGAATGATAAGAAGGAGAAGAATAGGTTCTAATGTATTTTACAGCCAGTGAATGATAAGAAGGAGAAGAATAGGTTCTATTGTATTTTACAGCCAGTGAATGATAAGGAGAAGAAGAATAGGTTCTAATGTATTTTACAGCCAGTGAATGATAAGGAGGAGAAGAATAGGTTCTAATGTATTTTACAGCCAGTGAATGATAAGGAGGAGAAGAATAGGTTATAATGTATTTTACAGCCAGTGAATGATAAGGAGGAGAAGAATAGGTTATAATGTGTTTTACAGCCAGTGAATGATAAGGAGGAGAAGAATAGGTTATAATGTGTTTTACAGCCAGTGAATGATAAGGAGGAGAAGAATAGGTTATAATGTGTTTTACAGCCAGTGAATGATAAGGAGGAGAAGAATAGGTTATAATGTATTTTACAGCCAGTGAATGATAAGGAGGAGAAGAATAGGTTATAATGTATTTTACAGCCAGTGAATGATAAGGAGGAGAAGAATAGGTTATAATGTGTTTTACAGCCAGTGAATGATAAGGAGGAGGAGAAGAAGAATAAATAGGTTATTACAATGTATGACTACTAAAATGTTGTCATCATCTATGATGATTTATACCTTCACTGCCACAGGTTTACAAATTATGTTGCTTTTTTCACTTACAAAAATTAGTTGACCCAGCTTAAAATGGGCCCATCGAATGTTTTAGGAAGTTTAAGGTTGCCAGTGATGATAACCACATCACCCATTGAGTGTTGATTGTTCTATTTAACACAAAAAGAGACTCTTAATGAAGCTCAGCACTGATAGATTTTTCCTTAAAGCAGCCACACCAGAGTCCTTGACAACAACAAAAGATCTGACATCACTAAACGTGCACATTCATGTTTACCATCATAATAAACCAGGGCTGCTTTCAACTTGTCCTTCTTCAGCATTGGGAACAATTCCAGGGCCTTACTCTTGCTCAATATGTAGCTGGGCTTGAGCAGTTCCCGCCCAGCAACAAAGTCATACATTTTGATACCTGCCCAGAAGTAAGGTACTTGCCACCACCTGCAAAACAAACAAAACTGTTTCATTAAAACAAAAACAAAGCAAACACAGACGATGATGAAGATGATCATGGAAATTCAACTGCTGAACAATTTTTAATGTACAACATCCACATAAGTCCTGCAAGTTTTCAACCATGTTTGAAGGCAGATGTTTAAACCACTGCTGCAGGTAGGTAGGTAGTGCATGTGTGTGTGATGATAATGTGTGCACATGTGGGGAATGGACATCGAAAGGGAAAAGCGACTGGGAAGACCAAAAGAGACTATGTAAAACCATCATCTTGGAAAGCTCAACTATGGGCTTAACAAACATCTAAGACCTAAAACAGGTGGCAACTAACTGCCAGACATGGAGAGCTATGACCTCAGCCCTATGTGCCACCCCAGGCACAAGAGGAAAGACTAACAAGTGGAGTTTGTCACATCTTTTTTTATTCTTATTCTACTCGTGCAAATCCCCAGCCAAAAATGAAATTTACCAGGTTTACTTGAGCCATTCATAGATAATTCAACCTCCGATTTATTTCACTTCTCCTTCTATGATGATTTCTTGATTACACTTTTAACATGTCATTAATCTCCTCATTCTTACTTCTACCTTTTCTTCTAGGACCTATAATTTCCATTACTATTCTTACAAAAACTTTGCGGTAATGAGCTTAGCCATTGTGAAAGCAAAGCACCCTTTTCCCCACCTTCAGATATACTGCACATACAGCTAGACCTACATTTTATAGATCAAGATCTACATACATAGTAGGTGATGTCAGCATTACGCTGGCAATCTTTACTTCTCATTACTTCAATTGGTACCCATTTATGGCTGCGTTGACCTGGCAGCCAAAGTCCTTTTTATAAAGAAAAAAAAAGGGGGGCTGTGGTCTTTCAGGACCTAAACCCATGATATGGCCACTGAGTATGTGTCCATTTCCTTCCAACAAAACAAAAAAAAAATGACCATTCCATTTCAGAGTAGAGCTTTTATCAATGTTGCTCTCCAGACCAGGGGTATTCAACTAAGTTTAATCACTGACTAAAGTTTTGAAAATTGGGATTGTTATGGGACAAAGGTCCAAGCCTCAGCATAGAAAGATCACTAAAAGAAAACAACTGGCAATGATCTGCGGGCCACTTGCTAGGCCTCTGCGGGCCAGATTTGGCTGATGGGTGGCCAGTTAAACAGCCCAGCTCTAAGTCAGTTTGCAAACCCAGATTTTGTCTTCTGGGATAGCACAACCATAATGCATGCTCACAAAATAGCAGGCCATGACAAGGAAACAACCCAAGAGAAATCAGTCACAGAAAAATAACACTGCTGCTAATCACCACCTAAAAAACAGAAGTCTTTATCTTCTGTGGCATTTAATCAGGATTAACTAGGCATTGTAAATGTGCTAAGTAGTTCCATGTTGCTGGGTTAGATTCCAGCTGCAGCCAACTGGCAAGTGAAATCACAAACAGCCAAAACAAGACGAAGTTGGTTCTTAATCATCATGTAAAGGGTACGCAACTAAGTTTGGGTTTTTTTTTTTATTTTTCTGTTTCCGAGATCTGATGATTTTCATGAATTAGTTTTCTTAAGATCTCACAGAATGTCATCTATGTTTCTTCTTATTTATGCATAATATTCTAAGAATTTTCTGCAACATTCAAGTCCCAAATTGTGCTGCACAGTCATTGAAATAGCCTACACTATAATATTCATTTAACCAATCAATCAGGGGTAGCAGAATGTAATAAGAATACTTGGACTTCTTTGTATTACTTTCAACAAGTCATTTTTTCATTCTGTACCATCTCTCCAGAACCTTTATTTCTTGTTTTTATTTCCATAAAAATTACCTTTTTTATTTATTTTAATACATCTATAAAGCTTCTATATTTTTTTCAAATTGCTTGTTCAATGAACAGGTTTCTGTGCTATAAAATAAAGCTGAATTTACATAATATTAAGCAAAACAAAATATTCACATCCACACAAAAAAACATTACTTAAACTGCTACTTACTGATAAACTGGCAACATAATGGGCAAAGGATACGCCAAGTGAGGAGCTATTTCTATGAGATTGGCACGCTCCGCTAAAGCCTCCTTCACCATTTTATACTGCAACCAGAAAGGTTTATAGTTAAGGCACACTATAAAAATAGTAGCAAAGATATTGTGGCTAATTATCCTAGAATGAACCTATTCAATATCGCTCATTAATAAAAACCAAAATTGTCATGTTCTTTGCTCATCGGCTGTAAACTCAGGGAGAAAGTCCTGACTGTTTATCCTTTTGGACTCGGGCTTTGTGTCAGGTCCTGAGTGCAAATCTGTTTTACTGTCTTATTTGTGTGCAGCTGGTTGTTCCTTGTCGCTCAGGCAGATGTACTACAACTTCGAAAGAAGCTCCCAATTAGTCGTCTATTATGACATGCTAGTTGGGGAGGCAGTGGGACTGTTCCCCCCCTCCCTCCTTCCCCCATTGGGGCTCCAAAACTTGCATGGGGAAATTTACCTGTTCAATATCACTCACAGAAAAAAAATTTACCTGTTCAATTTCACTTATAGCTAAAACCTAAATTTACCTGTTCAACATCACTCACAGAAAAAACCTAAATTCCCCCCTTCAATATCACTCATAGATAAAACCTAAATTTACCTGTTCAACATCACTCACAGAAAAAACCTACATTCACCCCTTCAATATCACTCATAGATAAAACCTTAATTTACCTGTTCAAAATCACTCACAGAAAAAACCTACATTCACCCCTTCAATATCACTCATAGATAAAACCTTAATTTACCTGTTCAAAATCACTCACAGAAAAAACCTAAATTCACCCCTTCAATATCACTCATAGATAAAACCTAAATTTACCTGTTCAATATCACTCATAGCTAAAACCTAAATTTACCTATTCAATATATAAATATATCTAACATTTACCATTTAAACACCTGACTTGAATAAACTGCACATTTACCTGTTCAATATCTAAGTTGAAGACAGCTTTCTGCAGGTACCGTACACCTCCATGGATCAGCTTTGTGCTGCGGCTGCTTGTGCCAGACGAGAAGTCAAATTTTTCCACCAGACCAGTCTTTAGACCTTTACAGAAAGGTTTATTATTATATTATGAATGAAAACCGCTAATTACGGTAACATATGTTTATGCCTGCAATGTAAAAAATGTGGTTGTTAATATTCTCCAATAAAACAAATGTTTCATGACTACATGGGAAATGTTGAAATGAATCCTTTCAAACAATTTTGCACAGGTCACTAATTTTAACATAAATTGTCCGTACAGTTAAATTTATTTTTATTTTGTTCAACTTTGATTATTTAAAATAAAACATGAGAACAATTAAACTGACACAGCATTGCTTTATATTATACTTAGAATGAATCTAACTGACATGGGGGGTACAAGGATTAGGACAGCTAATATAGTCACCAGGAAATGTTCTGTGAGGTAAAGGTGGCCTAAGTGACACTGACTATGTTGAATACTGAGTGCCGATTTGACCACAAACATATGATAATGAGGCAAGTACAATATACCAGGCAGTCTTCAATAAGTGAAGGATAGTTCTTTATTACCTTCACTGAGAATATTTTATCAATTTCACAGACATACTTTTAGAGGACAAAAGGACCCTTTTCCCAAATTTGATTCGTCAGACATGCAGGCATATTTTGTAAGCTCAATCAGTACTCAATGAGTGATGTGTTCAACATCACACCAGCTGCTTTTACGTCGCAGGCCACTATCTGGTACATTTTTATTTTTGACTGAGTCAATCTGGGAGCCAAGGTTAACTGTGGAAAAAATTCAGCCTCGATGAGGATTTGAACGGCTAGGACTTTGGGCTGCCATGGCTTCCACAGACATACTTTTGATTGGGATAGATAAATAAGACTTGACTCATAATTTGACATCTCACTGGAAGCAAGTATGAAAAAAATCAACATCATATTACACGAATCAGGTCAGATGTTCATAGAACACCCAGATCACTCCCTGTGAAGGTTCTGGGTATCCAGTGTGGGGGAAAACAAGAACAGATCCACTGTCTCCCCAACAAGCATGTCGTAGGAGTTGACGAATTGGAGGCATCCTTTGAAGTCGGAGTGCATCTGCCTGAGAGGCAAGGTACCAAGTCTGCATACAAATAGGCCAGATTTGTAAAATGAAGAAGACCAAGTCTAGAGACGGGCGAACTACCATAACTTTCTGCCGGAGTTTACAGCCGGTAAACGCAGAGAAGACATATTCTACCTGACATACACAACCCATAAACCATGGTGGCCCATAGGCTCACAAACATATTGTTTCACTAACAAAACTAGCACAAACCCCTTGTTGTAGCATCCAAGGCTACTCCAAGCCCGGTGGCTCCTCCTCCTATGACCAAAACATCCAATTCCTCACTCCTGATAGCTTTGATCAAATCCTCCCTTACAGGTAGAGGGGCATTCATAAGATGCAGCTCCTCCTGGCTGCAAGGCTTCACAGATCCATTCTAAGAGATAAACAGTCAGACAATTTATACAGAGATAAGTTACGTATTCTAATAAAAATTATCAACAAAATGTCATACCCCACCACCTTCTCCTCCTTCATCTGTATTTGTCTTCCTAACTCCCTATTCAACACAGGTTCTAAAGAAGGGCCACAGACTGTAAAGGGCCTGTGAAATCCTTTTGTCTAGTTCTGCTGAAGCAACAACAGGCAGGACTTAATATTCAACATATCTTAGAGCTTAATTCGTTGCAAAATAAATTTATATTAACATGCTTAAGTGTTGAAGGTAAAGCAAAAAGCACCCATTACAAGACAGGCAAAAAACACAGGAGTACATGATGAAAGAGAGACAGATTTAAGATTATAATACTGTATAGGATGTGCCTGAAGTTATAAATATCTAAATAACCCTTGGCAGAGAAAAGGTTTCCCCATTCATGGTCTAAAGAAACCCATGCAAATCCATCTACTCTGTCTCTCTACTATTTATCTTCACACACCAATATCAGAGTTTCCAAATACTAGTTCTATCTAGCATCGGCTTCTTTTCCTTGCATGTTTTTCTTTTTTTTTGTGTGTGCAAATCATAGAACTCAAGTCCTGGAACAAAAAGTAGATAAAACAGCCAGGACTTTCCAACTGACTTCACATGCAAGGTGAATGCAAAGGAAAAGAACAAGCAAAACACAGTATTTTGTAAATAATGATGTGCAGACTACAGAAGCTCACCTTATATCTGGAGGCAAACGTTGGGTAGAGGACTGTGGCTGTGTAGAACCCTCCCAGGCCAGCCACTGAGAGGTAAGCCAGACGTTTCGCATACTTAAATGTGGTCATTGTGAAACAGGGGTTCAGGACATAACTTCACCAACTACCTGAAAATGTATCATGTAAACAACGGCTATGCCATTAAACTGCCATGACTTAGGGCCTCAGAATCTGCAGGTGTGTAAAACAATCTGTATTTGTTACACAGCTTATCTTTTGTTGACTGAATAATTTTGCATTTAGGAAACATAAATAGTTTTTTTTTTGGGTACATGTTTTAAGTTGTAACTCAAAGACTTTAAGAGAACTGCTCATAATTTATGTTATTTTGCCAGCATAAATTGTATGATTTCTTTTAATAAAAATTAAACAACAAAATATTTCTATTATCAACACATTTAACACTTTTGTTCCTGAGAATATGAAAAAACCAACACTTCCAGTTGGGTCGAATTCCTCGTAAATGTCACTGTTCCGACTTGCATATCGTGACCTGTTTAGATGTATATTTAATGCAACTGGCTGTGTTTGCACCTGCGCAAATGTTCAGAAGGTCAGGATATTAATAAATTAACTAACAATAGCATTTAGAGGGGTTTTCTCCTTTGTGCTAAATAGCTTTTTAAAAACAATGTCAGCCAGATTTTCTAAAAAGCCTTCGTGGTAAAGGTCATGGCCCGAGTCACCCCATATGCGTGAGTTTTTTTAAGGCCCCGGGTGGATGTATTCAATTTATTACTTCACCGTGTATGTGTTTATTAATTCTCCTTTCAAATATCTTTATATATTAGAATAAAATAATTTTTAAAAAAATCGACAAATACATTTTAATGAATTTATTAGTGCCCTGTGTAAATGTCATTTTTATTCTTTTTTTTTCAGGAATCATAACAGGACCAAAACTTTTTTAAAGAGTTCTCAGGGGGAAAGAGTGCTCAGGGTGAAAGGCCTATAAATTTTAAAGATTTCTGGGATTAGCTGATGCAATTTAAAATAGTTGGGGCCTCAGTGCTTTATACATCCAAGGACATCATGAAGTCTAAATCCAGATCTGGTCTTGGGTAACAAAAAAATTTGTGTTATACATGTATTGTATGTGGGTGTAAGCTGTATTTATTAACCTGCACTATAAAATGAACTTTAAATAATGCGGAAACAAACATTACATTGCACAATTAATTGCCAGGCATATTTCCCTGTATCTCGTCAGGGGCTTTACTACAGCGTTACATCGACACAAAATAAAACACACCAAAAACGTGAATAAAATGGGCATCATATTGCACCAATCCAGCTATATTTCACAGAACACCTAGATCACTCCCTGTGAAGGTTCAGGGTATCCAGTGTAGGGAAAACAAGAATAGACCCACTGTCTCGCCAACAGGCATGTCGTAGGAGTTGTCGAATTGGAGGCATCCTTTAAAGTCTGAGTGCAAAATAAGCCAGATCTGTAAAATGAACAAGACTAAAGTCCAGAGGCGGATGAACACCCAGAACTTGTCAACTGAAGTTTACAGCTGGTAAATGCGAAGAAGAAGACACATTTTAAGTGAAATACACAACCCATAAACAACAACAAATTTCCTATAAAATATAAGACCAATATTGTTTTTTAAATTGATCTTGACTCAGCCTTGAGCGGGCACCAGGTGCAGCACTGAGAAGTAAAGGCGACCAGCGTAAGGCTGATCATATTCCCCACCAAGTGCCGATTGGTCTATAAAAATAAAGTCTAGTCATATATTCCCAATACGCCTAAAAGAATAGAAAGGGGACCTTTATTTATTTAAGAAGACCACTTCTTTAATGTGTTGTAACCAATAAAATAAGGTGTAAATCAGAGTTGTGTCGGAAGACTTCAAATTACCTTGGTAGAGGTTATGCTCTGAGAAGTAATAACTTGGCTTCTGACTGTTGATGACCTTGCATAAAGGCTAAGTTTTTTATTAGTACTACCTGTTTTTTTGTTCTGTGTTCTGGAGTTGCAAGCACAATTAACTATTTCTGTCTCAGGGAGTTACTATACAAACAAACTTTAATCAATTTTTTTAACTGCTTTATCCTAGACCTTGTGACTAATTCATGAATTGTCTCAGGCAATAATTACATTAACTCTCCCTGGCCTAGACCAAAAAGTAATTGCTTGGAACTGCATTTAGAAAACTATATGTCCTGAGCCACATACAAAACCAAAGTTAGTGGTAAAGAAGTGGTTAAATTTACTCACTAAAAAAAATGGCCCTGAATTCAACTTTGAAACGCTGAAATAAGTGCTGTTATGCCTGTCCGATTTCATTGTTTTGGCTCCTTTTAATATAATACCAATGTAACAATATTTATTTTTGTAATCACATTTAAAGTAACAAAGCCTGGCAATCTTAGTTTCAGCTTTTCTTTAGCAAACTGGTCACCACATAGTTGCTAATGAAACACATAGAATGTCTATCACTGTCCCTTGTGGAAAACTGATAGACTGCAGTCTCAGCCCATCTACTAGAATACAAATGCATTTAAAACATAAGGCAGCCATCATAAGTGCTTCAGGTGTAATTTAAAATGGTAGGGGTCATTTTTCTGCCATACGAAACAAAATCTAGTGTGAGAATGGAAGTGGATTGAGATCTACTGGCTTAAGAACCAGCTCCACGTATATGTCATGATTATAATTGACTCAAAGAGTATGCTGTGAAAGTGGAGACAAGCATGTTCTGTGCAAAATGGCCAGCATTGTTTCTGAGGTTAAGGGTACTGAGTGTCTTTGGGATCATTTCTTCAGTGTACATCAGTGTGTTGGGAATGAACAAGAAGATTGATTGGCTGTTTCAGAGACTCTTGGTAGCGAATTGCCACAAAACAATGTAACTGTTGTCAATGCTATTTTTGAGCAACCAAACAATGTGGAAGCAGGAACAGACTGTCAATCTTGAGGTGCAGTGGGGAGTGATCAAGAAGAGATATGGCTGACATTCAACACTCACAGGAAGGATAAGAAGGACATCTAGTGCTACTGGTACCATCCGACTGGAATTCTGCACCGGATGATGAAGATAGGGAGAGAAAGCTTATGGGAACAGAATTCACTCAATATCCCAATTACTGTTAGTTCTTAACTCAAGACCTTTGAAAAACAAAAACAAGAAAACACATAAAATCAGACAAAGCTAAGTAACCGACTCGACTGACCAGCTGTGGACAGCTAATGATGGTCTCAGGATTGACATCTCTGGGTTCAAACAGATCCACTGAGTTCTATTCAGATTCTGGATGCCAAAATAAAAAGGCAAATCCCAGATACTCCTCATAAGTTAAGTCACAATTACCATGCCTAAAAAAAAAAAAGGCTATCAAAGACAGCTGTCACTAAATAAAAGTATTATTTGAACATTTAGTATTTATTAAAGATAGCTAAGTATAGTATTGCACAATTGTAGACTTCAAATTTATTTTAAAGTTTGACGGTTACATATGTTTGAAAAATATTTAACTTTTAACTTTATGACTTTATATTAAAAAAAAAAGGCTCTCCTCTGAACTTCTACTCCCGCATTATGGCAACCTGAAAAATCCGTACGGGGCTCAGTCCATTAAAAATATGCGAACTTCCGGTGACGAACGAATCGCGGCAAAACAAGGATCGGCTCAGTATAGTGAAACAAATGCTCTAACAGGGTCTCAGCGATATGTTAATTGCGGACCTGTTTCTTATTGTTTCTGATTACCTGACAATTTTAAGAGACGCAACACTGCAGATGATAGTAGCAGATGATAATAGCGACCGTTGACACTTTCCATTGTCGGACTGACTGCCGAGGAACAAATATGAAAAAATGCGGACTTTTCGGAATGTCTGCCGACAAACAAATTGCGGCAAATCTAGGATCGCTCGGAAAAACGAAACAAATGCTCTGTGTCTCAGCGATATGTTAATTGCGGACCTGTTTCTGTGACTATGCCTCGCCGCCAACCGTATCTTCCGCGCCGCACGAATATGGGGTTAAACTAGATATCTGGGACTCATGAGCAGCAGCTACCGCATCTCCTGCAACTTCCTCCAAGTTTATTTGCTCGTGAGTCCCAGGCATCTAGTCTAACCCCCCACCCGCGCCGAGCGTTGTGGCTCAGGGGATACTGTCGGTGGTGAGTTTAATCACGTTTTGCGCATGCCAAAAAGTGTGAGGACAACAACGCCACGAGTATCTGTCAGAGGCCACCTGCAGCGCTGTCAGCGACATTGCACCCTGGCAGGAAGAACATACCTGCGAGTTGCGTATTAGCCTGTGGGGAGCTAGCCATTGCAACCAGACCAGTTTATCGGTCATTACTCGATACAAATCGACAGGTCTCACGTCTACCGCTGCTAAATCCTCAATAGGAAGAACAGTATCGCTAATCTGCATCTCAGCGCGTTGTATCCCCGCCATGTCGATGGTATGCACTGTTGCGTGTCTCAACATTGTCGACGGTCGCTATTATCATCTGCTACTATCGTCTGCAGTCGCTGTTATCGTCTGCGGTGTTGTGTCTCGTGACATTGTAAGGTACTCCTAGTTTTGCCGCAATTTGTTCTTCGGCGGGAAGTCCGACAAGTCCGTAGTTTTCATTGGACTGAGCCCCGTATGGATATTTCAGGCCGCCATAATGCGGGGGTAGAAGTTCGGAAAAAAGCATTTAAAAAAATTTATTTACAAAAATAAATTATATAAATTAAATCAATACAATTATTTCAATATTAATCGAAAATAATACAATGCTTGGCTATCCTCCAAATAACGGTCCAAATTATGGAGACTGAAAATATAGTAGCAACTTTGGTCAAATTTTCAAAATCGTTTTATCCTCGTAAAACAAGTACAGCTGCATCCGTATTGAAAAGCCCTTTCCAACGGTGCCTCTTTCATGCCTCTATGTCAAGTCTAAGCAGAGTTATTGAAGTTTTTGTGGGGAAAGTTAACAAAGAAGAAAATATAAAAGTAAGCTGAAACTTGCTGCCCAGAAATCAGAAGTTTTAGAGTAGTGTTTAAAAACTGCTTTAACTTATAAAGTATTTAAAAAAGACCCTAGAAACT